TGAAATATCAATGCAACGTTCATAAGCTGTATGTAACGCAATTTCGTTCTGTATGCACCCTGTGCATACAAAATGACAAATAAAGAAGTCTAAGTCTAAGTCTAAGTCTAAATGGGAAAGAAAACATAACAGTAGATGTATTAAGGATAATTGTTACTCTTCCTTACGACAACATAACACTTTTTGGTTTTTTTTATAAGGAAAGCCAGTATAACATGCTAGTTGTTGCATAATGGCAGAGGCTGGCTAGAATGAGAGCTTAAGCCAGAATTGATGAAGGATAACTCAGAGCTTTAAATAGGCTGTGTGAGCGATCTATTCCTTTTTTGTTCTATTAATGTACATGTATTTGATTCAAGGGATTCCTTCTGTCCTCATGTTTACAGATTTTACATCTTGTCAAATGACCTCAACACCTTCACCACCAACATGTAAGACTAAAAGCATTAGCCACTTTCATGCATAGGCAGCATTATTTTATAAATATTAATCATGATTGTCTCATATTCCAACATCTACAGCTCCATCAGTCATCATTATATTCCTGCTGTCTGTTGAGCTAAACTTCACAGATGTTACGGCTATAGAAGAGCTAAGGAGCATCAGCTACCCGGTCAGCATCAACAGCAAAGCACATGTCTCTGATGTCAACATCTCTACAGGTAAAGCAGGGAAGAATGGTTTTAAAATTAAAGTCTAATTTCCATTTAAAATTAGGTTTAAAACCAAGTAGTTTTCTAAATATTAAAAAACATGTGAATAACTTACTGAAATAATTTCGATTTTTAAAAAGTATCTGCTTTGTCATCTGAAATATTTTTAAATGATTTTAAGTCTGGTTAACAGATTTAAAGAACCTTTGTGATATTTTTGCATTAAATGCCAGAAGCTTTAGAAAAAAAAAAGATTAGAGAAAATAGTGAGGTATGTTTTAAATTTTACAGAAACTTTTATTGTTTGTGAAAAGTTTTTTATACATATCAAAAAAAGTGTCTGGCTTATTTCCTGAAACTTTGTCAGTAGATTCATTTTTTGACCAAGTTTAAGATTCTTTGAATAGTTTAACTATAAATTGAAGTTAAAAGTCTGAATACTTATTTCTGTAATTTATTAAACGTTTTTCCTCCAGTTTGCTCTCCAATCAGCGGTGATTACCAGTGCAGATGTGAGGATCAGTATCGTTGGTCATGTGACCAGTGTCAAACATATGGATCATGTGACAACATAACTGGAGACACTTGTGGATGCATTAATGGCATTCCTGCTGATGGACAGTACTGCCAGTCTCTGGATCAATACAGTGAGTTTTATTTATTATATATAATAACTGTTTCATTCATAGTTAACAGACTTTACACATTATTAAACCAAATGCCTATAATTGATATCACCATTATTGAAGAAGTAAACAGGGGAAGAAGTGTTGCTCTGAACACTGCTCAACCGGAACTGCAAAGTGAGGGGAAGACACAGTGGTTAGTTCAGGCTCAGTGGGGAATTAGACTTGTGAAACTTGGAGAAGAGGTCTTGGTTGCCGACTCACGTTTCCAGGGAAGTTGTTGAATCCTTGAATCCAGTCTGTGTGTCGTGGTTCCAGTGTTTGTCTGATTCGGTGGAGGGCGGAACAGGGTTTACCCAGAATGCGGTTGATAGTTGGAGAACGGAGATACTGACTGCCACCCAGATTTCCTGCGGTACTTGAACGGGTCCTTGTGGAGAATAATCCCTTTCTCAGTGAGAGCTCAAACGATCTCTTGGGAAAAGTGAGTCAAAACCTCCTGTTTAAATCTCAGCTCAGTTTGAAGCTCAGTTGATCCTTCCAGGGTGTGAAGGTCCGAGAGATCCCGTTAGCAGGACAACCTCCTGCCAAGAGGCAAAGACAGTTAAACTCAGGTTGAAAAACACTCAGTTTGACTCAGCAAACTCAGCTTGGCTAGAGTACCCTAAACTGGCAAACACTCTGACGTCGAAGTAGTGACAGTCAGCAGCTTAAGAGCTCTCCAATTAACGAGGAAACCATCCGCAGGTGTGTGAGGAGGTGGACCAGAACCAGGCGCCTCCTGGTGGAGGAAGGGAGACAAACACGGAAAACACAGACACAAAACAGGAGTCCTGACACACTTACTGTTTGATGTTAAAAAAAATCTATTTAGTTTTATATATTGTTTTTGTTTAATTATTATTCTTTCCACCAGCTTTTAAAGTTTCTGATGATAGCTGAAAGGATCAAATATGGAAAAAAGAGTTAACTCTGATTAAACATTCTTTTCTAGAATGCTAACCTGAAAACCAGACTAGGTTTTTTGTCTGACCTTTAGATATGATAAATCTAAACAGAATCCCCCAGGAACCTGAAATATCTCAGAAAGTAACACATTCTACAAAAGAATTCAAGAACAGAAGAAATAAAAATCATGGTTAATCCAGAGTGTACAGTATAACAAAGCCATTCTAAGACTAAGGCACCATTAAATCAAAGTGAGAGTCATCATTGATACCTGGAGAAAATGTTTACATTACCATGAGAGGCCAGTGAACACAATGACTCCAATAGCTTACCAGTGATTCAACTCGAAGGACACAAATCAACATGAAACGTCTAAAGCACTGAAGATGTTTTTCTCTTCATGTAAGGTCAGAGTCCGAAATAATAAAAGAAAGAGAGTGGGCAAACAAATCCTCTTTGGGAGATTTGAAACCAAAGTAATAGCCAGTCTTAAAAAAAAAACAAAATCTAATCAGAGGTTTGCCAAAATACACTCTGAAGACTTTGGGAAAATATGATGCTGACATGCAAAACAAAATGGAAATATTTTTAGAAGGTGCTTTTCTAGTTACATATAATCTAAAACTAACTCAGCACTTTATAAACAGACAGTCATAATGACTGTTAAGCCATATTGAGACAGACTCAGTCATCTGTTCATTTTGGTTTTGGTCGTTATTAAAAAAGAGACTTTATTCATATTGATTATCGCAGCACAAAGATCAAAACAACTAGAAATCAAACAAACAACTAGAAATAAATTCTCAAACACTAGAAATATAAAAGAAATGAAACAATTAATAATAATCAAAAGTCCAAATACTGCTTGAATAAATAACAACATTAAAACGGTTGTGTAAAGTAGACATAGTACAGGTATTATGTAATGGAAAACAAAGTTTTTTGAAATGCCAGTGTAATTTTGACAGGGTTAAGTTTCTTTTAAGTCAGTTACAAGCAACCAGGGAATTGTTCTGAAATAGTTTTCTCCCTTGTTGAACCCCAGTCGGCCTCAGCAGATGGCCGCTCACACTCAGCCTGGTTCTGTTGGAGGATTCTTCTCGTTTAAAGGGAGTTTTTCCTCACTACTGTCTCTAAAAGCATGTTTGGTGTGAGAGATTGCCTTTGAGTCAATGAGTCGATCCAATCAACTTCTTTTCCTTAGATACAAAACTTGAAAACTTGCTCAGTGTAATTACATTTTAAAAAACTGTCTTCGTGAAACAGATCTAAATCCCTGCCCAACGACAGCACCAACAACTGGTAAGAAATGTTACACTTTTGTTCTAACTGAAATCCAAACATAGAACTGATTTGTACTTTCAACTATTAAGTTAGATTTAATTTTAAAGATGCCATAATATATTTCTGCATCTATTATCACTACATTAGTTTACATCGATAAACCACAAGGTTCCTGTTAACCCAGTCCAATTATCAGTATAAAAACTGTAATGATGATTTGTCTGACAGACTACAGCTGTTAGAAAATCATTCAGAGAAAATGAACTTATTTCAGCAATACTCTTACTGCATTAGCTAAAGGTTTAGCATATGACATATTTTAAAGAGATTGCTGGACCCTACTATCAATTTCATCTTTTGGATGATTTTTCCTTTTCCAGCTCTTTCAGTCTTCCGTCAGTACCTTCTTTCTATAGAGCTGAAAAGCAGATCTGTTTCAGTCATAGCAGAGCTGAGAAACACCAGCTACCCCATCATCAGCAGCAATCTACACATCTCTGATGTTAACATCTCTACAGGTAATAATCATACCTTTAATAACATTGATAGATTTGATGGGATGCAGTTTCTAACTGTTGAAACAATCTGTCTTGCTTTCAGTGTGCTCCCCCAATAATACAAGCCACCAGTGCAGATGTGAGGATCAGTATGGCTGGCCTTGTGACATGTGCTCCACTTTTGGTGAATGCAGCAACCTTCTAGGCAATACCTGTGGATGCATCAATGCACTTCCTCCAAACAATACTTACTGCCAGCCACTGTCAGGTAGGTTTTGCTATTTTGTTTTTTACTTCAACATTTGATTCAATTTGCTCAGTGTAATTACATTTTAAAAAACTGTCTTTGTGAAACAGATCTACATCCCTGCCCAACTGCAGCACCAACAACTAGTAAGAAATGTTACACTTTTTCTCTGACAACTATCCAAACATATAAATTATTTGTGCTTTCAACTATTAAGTTAGATTTTGATTTAAAGATGCCATAATATATTTGTGCATCTATTATCACTACATTAGTTTACATCGATAAACCACAAGGTTCCTGTTAACCCAGTCCAATTATCAGTATAAAAACTGTAATTCTGATTTGTCTGACAGACTACAGCTGCTAGAAAGTCATTCAGAGAAAATGAACTTATTTCAGCAATATTCTTACTGAATTAGCTGAAATGTTTAGCATATGACATATTTTAAAGAGATTGCTGGACCCTACTATTAATTTAATCTTTTGGATGATTTCTGCATTTCAGCTCCTCCAGTCTTCCATCAGTACCTTCTTTCTATAGAGCTGAAAACAACAACAGTTGCAGCAGTAGAAAAACTGAGAAACATCAGCTACCCCATCATCAGCAGCAATCTACACATCTCTGATGTTAACATCTCTACAGGCAATAATCATACCTTTAATAACATTGATAGATTTGATGGGATGCAGTTTCTAACTGTTGAAACAATCTGTCTTGCTTTCAGTGTGCTCCCGCTATAATACAAGCCACCAGTGCAGATGTGAGGATCAGTATGGCTGGCCTTGTGACATGTGCTCCACTTTTGGTGAATGCAGCAACCTTCTAGGCAATACCTGTGGATGCATCAATGCACTTCCTCCAAACAATACTTACTGCCAGCCACTGTCAGGTAGGTTTTGCTATTTTGTTTTTTACTTCAACATTTGATTCAATTTGCTCAGTGTAATTACATTTTAAAAAACTGTCTTTGTGAAACAGATCTAAATCCCTGCCCAACGACAGCACCAACAACTAGTAAGAAATGTTACACTTTTTCTCTGACAACTATCCAAACATATAAATTATTTGTGCTTTCAACTATTAAGTTAGATTTTGATTTAAAGATGCCATAATATATTTGTGCATCTATTATCACTACATTAGTTTACATCGATAAACCACAAGGTTCCTGTTAACCCAGTCCAATTATCAGTATAAAAACTGTAATTCTGATTTGTCTGACAGACTACAGCTGCTAGAAAGTCATTCAGAGAAAATGAACTTATTTCAGCAATATTCTTACTGAATTAGCTGAAATGTTTAGCATATGACATATTTTAAAGAGATTGCTGGACCCTACTATTAATTTAATCTTTTGGATGATTTCTGCATTTCAGCTCCTCCAGTCTTCCATCAGTACCTTCTTTCTATAGAGCTGAAAACAACAACAGTTGCAGCAGTAGAAAAACTGAGAAACATCAGCTACCCCATCATCAGCAGCAATCTACACATCTCTGATGTTAACATCTCTACAGGCAATAATCATACCTTTAATAACATTGATAGATTTGATGGGATGCAGTTTCTAACTGTTGAAACAATCTGTCTTGCTTTCAGTGTGCTCCCGCTATAATACAAGCCACCAGTGCAGATGTGAGGATCAGTATGGCTGGCCTTGTGACATGTGCTCCACTTTTGGTGAATGCAGCAACCTTCTAGGCAATACCTGTGGATGCATCAATGCACTTCCTCCAAACAATACTTACTGCCAGCCACTGTCAGGTAGGTTTTGCTATTTTGTTTTTTACTTCAACATTTGATTCAATTTGCTCAGTGTAATTACATTTTAAAAAACTGTCTTTGTGAAACAGATCTAAATCCCTGCCCAACGACAGCACCAACAACTAGTAAGAAATATTACACTCTTTCTCTGACAACTATCCAAACATATAAATTATTTGAGACTTTGACTATAAGTTAGATTTAATTTTAAAGATGCCATAATATATTTCTGCATCTATTATCGCTACATTAGTTTACATCGATAAACCACAAGGTTCCTGTTAACCCAGTCCAATTATCAGTATAAAAACTGTAATTCTGATTTGTCTGACAGACTACAGCTGCTAGAAAGTCATTCAGAGAAAATTAAATTATTTCAGCAATATTCTTACTGCATTAGTTGAAAGGTTTAGCATATGACATATTTTAAAGAGATTGCTGGACCCTACTATCAATTTAATCTTTTGGATGATTTTTTCTTTTTCAGCTCCTCCAGTCTTCCGTCAGTACCTTCTTTCTATAGAGCTGAAAACAACAACAGTTGCAGCTGTAGAAAGACTGAGAAACATCAGCTACCCCATCATCAGCAGCAATCTACACATCTCTGATGTAAACATCTCTACAGGTAATAATCACACCTTTAATAACATTGATAGATTTGATGGGATGCAGTTTCTAACTGTTGAAACAATCTGTCTTGCTTTCAGTGTGCTCCCCCTATAATACAAGCCACCAGTGCAGATGTGAGGATCAGTATGGCTGGCCTTGTGACATGTGCTCCACTTTTGGTGAATGCAGCAACCTTCTAGGCAATACCTGTGGATGCATCAATGCACTTCCTCCAAATAATACTTACTGCCAGTCATTGTCAGGTAGGTTTTGCTCTTTTGTTTTTTACTTCAACATTTGATTCAATTTGCTCAGTGTAATTACATTTTAAAAAACTGTCTTTGTGAAACAGATCTAAATCCCTGCCCAACGACAGCACCAACAACTAGTAAGAAATGTTACACTCTTTCTCTGACAACATCCAAACATATAAATTATTTGTGCTTTCAACTATTAAGTTAGATTTAATTTTAAAGATGCCATAATATATTTCTGCATCTATTATCACTACATTAGTTTACATCGATAAACCACAAGGTTCCTGTTAACCCAGTCCAATTATCAGTATAAAAACTGTAATGCTGATTTGTCTGACAGACTACAGCTGTTAGAAAATCATTCAGAGAAAATTAACTTATTTCAGTAATACTCTTACTGCATTAGCTGAAAGGTTTAGCATATGACATATTTTAAAGGCAAGGCAAGGCAAATTTATTTGTATAGCACAATTCAGTACAAAGACAATGCAAAGTGCTTTACATGATTAAAATACAGGAAGATAAAACAGAATCAAAGCAAGTAGGAAAAAATAAAAAACAAATAAAATAAAATAAAAAATGCAGAAACAAAAAAAGAATATTAAAAGTAGTTGGATTAAAGAAAACATGTTTTTGTTGAATTGTTTAACTAGAACAGTCGAAGGCAATCCTAAACAAATGTGTTTTTAGTCTTGATTTAAAGGAACTCAGGCTTTCCGCACTTTTACAGTTTTCTGGAAGTTTGTTCCAGATAAGTGGAGCATAGGAACTAAATGCTGCTTCTCCATGTTTAGTTCTGGTTCTAGGTATGCAGAGCAGGCTGGAGCCAGAAGACCTGAGTTGTCTGGAGGGTTGATAAACTGATAGCAAGTCTGTGATGTATTTAGGTGCTAAGCCATTCAGAGATTTATAGACTAACAGAAGTATTTTAAAGTCTATTCTCTGAGAGACAGGGAGCCAGTGTAAGGACTTTAGAACTGGGGTGATGTGCTCTACTTTCTTAGTCTTAGTGAGGACACGGGCAGCAGCGTTTTGGATCAGCTGCAGCTGTCTGATCCACTTTTTAGGCAGACCTGTGAAAACACTGTTGCAGTAATCAATTTGACTAAAAATAAACGCATGGATTAGTTTTTCCAGATCATGCTGAGACATTAGTCCTTTAATCCTGGAAATGTTCTTCAGGTGATAGAAAGCCGACCTTGTAATTGTCTTTAAATGCTTTTGGAGGTTCAAGTCTGAATCCAGCACTACACCTAGACTTCGGGCCTGATCAGTGGTTACTAGCTGAAGCGACTGAAGCTGTGTGCTAACTTTAGATCTCTCCTCTATTGGTCCAAAGATTATTACTTCAGTTTTGTTTTTATTCAGTTGAAGAAAATTATGGCACATCCAGGCATTGATTTCTTCTAAGCATTTCCTCAGTGCTTGAATTGGTTCATAGTCACCTGGTGACATGGTGATGTAAAGCTGTGTGTCGTCTGCATAGTTATGGTAGTTGATGTTGTTGTTTTTTATTAACTGAGCAAGAGGGAGCATGTAGATATTGAATAGGAGGGGACCCAGAATGGACCCTTGGGGAACCCCACATGTGATTTTTGTCATCTCTGATGTAAAGTTGCCTACTGACACAAAAAAGTCCCTGTCCTTTAAGTAGGATTTAAACCAGTTGAGAGCTGTACCAGAGAGGCCGACCCAGTTTTCCAGGCGCTCTAACAGGATGGAGTGATCGACAGTATCGAATGCTGCACTGAGGTCCAATAGTACCAGCACTGTGGTTCTTCCGCAGTCTGTATTTATACGGATGTCATTAAACACCTTGATAAGGGCGGTCTCTGTACTGTGGTGAGCACGGAAACCTGACTGGAACACGTCAAAGCGGCTGGTCATATCTAAGAAAGTGTTTAACTGTTGAAACACTGCTTTTTCAATAATCTTACTGATAAAGGGGAGGTTTGATATGGGCCTGTAGTTCTGGAGTAGTAGTTTGTCTAAACTTTTCTTTTTCAGCAGTGGTTTGATATTTGCTGTTTTTAGGGACTGCGGGAAAACACCTGACAGAAGGGACGTGTTTATTATCTGAGTCAAATCAGATGCTATGACAGGCAAAACTTTCTTAAAGAAAGCTGTGGGTAGAACATCAAGGCAGCAGGAGGAGGAACTTAGCTGCTGAATGATTTCCTCTAAGCTTTTATAGTTTATTTGGCTGAATTGGGACATTTGGCCAAGATCAATTCCAGTTGGAGACAACTTTGGTACTGAACTTGATATGGATGTATAAACTGATACTCTGATCTTTAGGATTTTCTCAGTAAAGAAATTAGCAAATTCATTGCAGGCCCAGGTGGAGTGAAGTTCAGGAGCCACGGACACAGGAGGATTTGTTAGCGTGTCGACTGTGGCAAATAACGCACGAGTATTATTAATGTTCTTGTTAATGATTTCAGAGAAGAAAGATTCTCTTGCATTTTTCAGTTGCAAGCTATATCTGTAAAGTCTCTCTTTATAGATGTCATAGTGAACCTGGAGTTTCGTCTTTCTCCACCTGCGTTCAGCTTTACGACACTCCCTTTTTTCACTTCTAACTGCTGGAGCACTTCTCCAAGTAGATTTTTTCTTTCCGGAAAAGACTTTCACTTTAATTGGAGCAATGCAGCTAATGATGTCTGAGACTTTAGACTGAAAGTTATCTACTAGCTCTTCTACTGAGTTGCAGCCCAAGGTTGAAGTAGCAGAGTAAGCTTGAATAAAAGTTTCTGTGGCATTTTCCTTAAAGGTGCGTTTTCTTATGATGTCCCTTTGGCTAAATGAGTCACTGGAAATGATGCCCTCAAAGGTAACAGAAAAGTGATCGGATAGGGCAACATCAGTAACACTGACTTTAGAAATCTTCAGACCTTTAGTGATGATCAAGTCTAAAATATGTCCCTGTTTGTGTGTTGGTTGTTTAACATGTTGAGTTAAACCAAAGTTTCTAAGTGTGTCACACAGTTCTTTTGCACTTCTGTCTTTAGGGTTGTCAACGTGAAAATTAAAGTCTCCCACAATAATTAAACAGTCATAATCAACGCATATCACAGACAGGAGGTCACTAAAATCATTAAAAAAGTTTGACGTGGACTTAGGAGGCCTGTAAACATTTAGAAACATAGTTCGTACCGGGCTCTTTACCTGCAGAGCCAAATGTTCAAAAGAGTCAAATTTTCCCAAAAACACCTTTTTACACTTCAGTGAGTCATTAAACAATGTTGCCACTCCTCCACCTTTCCTTTGCTGTCTGCTCTCGCAAAGAAAATTGTAGTTTGGAGGAGACGACTCCAACAGAATATGTGCTTCATTAAGTCCATGTAACCACGTTTCTGTTAAAAACATAACATCAACATTGTTGTCAATAATAAAGTCATTAATTAAAAGGGATTTTCCTGACAGAGATCTAATGTTTAATAAAGCCAGTTTATATGAATTAGTGGTTGATGTTGTCTCTGTAGCAGGCTGCATCTGACAGTTTATGACTCTTAAGTGTCTGTTCCTGTTTGTTCCCATTTTGTTTTTCTTATTTCTGCCACGTATCATCACAGATATTCCATAATCTCCAGTAGAAGGCCCAAGCTGATGCTGGAAACTGTTATGTCTGATAAGCTTGTTGCCAGGGCCCGGTGTGTATCACGGAGAAGTTATCTGAAGGTCCTAACGTTCGGTGATGTGTAGAGGAGGATCTGGGGCTCTGCTGCTTTTAGAAGATGCTGGTTTTTTCACAAAGCTGCGGCTTTCGGAATGGCTATGTGGAGAGGATGTCAACTGTAGGCCAATCTTGAAAACTTTGTTCATGTTATGAGAAAATTCCAGAAAAGGAACATCTGGGCTTTGTGGGGGAGAGGGGGAATTGGGTGCAGTCTGGACTGGTGTCTGTGGGGATGGAGGTTTTTGGTAATTTAAAGGGGAGTCCTCTGATGATAAAGAGATTGCTGGACCCTCCTATCAGTTTAATCTTTTGGATGATTTCTGCATTTCAGCTCCTCCAGTCTTCCGTCAGTACCTTCTTTCTATAGAACTGAAAACAACAACAGTTGCAGCTGTAGACAAACTGATAAACATCAGCTACCCCATCATCGGCAGCAATCTACACATCTCTGATGTTAACATCTCTACAGGTAATAATCATACCTTTAATAACATTGATAGATTTGATGGGATGCAGTTTCTAACTGTTGAAACAATCTGTCTTGCTTTCAGTGTGCTCCCGCTATAATACAAGCCACCAGTGCAGATGTGAGGATCAGTATGGCTGGCCTTGTGACATGTGCTCCACTTTTGGTGACTGCAGCAACCTTCTAGGCAATACCTGTGGATGCATCAATGCACTTCCTCCAAATAATACTTACTGCCAGCCACTGTCAGGTAGGTTTTGCTATTTTGTTTTTTACTTCAACATTTGATTCAATTTGCTCAGTGTAATAATAATAAAAAAAAAACTGTCTTTGTGAAACAGATCTAAATCCCTGCCCAACGACAGCACCAACAACTAGTAAGAAATGTTACACTCTTTCTCTGACAACATCCAAACATAGAACTGATTTGTACTTTCAGCTAGTAAGATAGATTTAATTTTAAAGATGCCATAATATATTTCTGCATCTATTATCACTACATTAGTTTACATCGATAAACCACAAGGTTCCTGTTAACCCAGTCCAATTATCAGTATAAAAACTGTAATTCTGATTTGTCTGACAGACTACAGCTGCTAGAAAGTCATTCAGAGAAAATGAACTCATTTCAGCAATATTCTTACTGAATTAGCTGAAAGGTTTAGCATATGACATATTTTAAAGAGATTGCTGGACCCTACTATTAATTTAATAATTTGGATGATTTTTCCTTTTTCAGCTCCTCCACTCTTCCGTCAGTACCTTCTTTCTATAAAGCTGAAAACAACAACAGTTGCAGCTGTAGAAAGACTGAGAAACATCAGCTACCCCATCATCAGCAGCAATCTACACATCTCTGATGTTAACATCTCTACAGGTAACAATCACACCTTTAATAACATTGATAGATTTGATGGGATGCAGTTTCTAACTGTTGAAACAATCTGTCTTGCTTTCAGTGTGCTCCCCCTATAATACAAGCCACCAGTGCAGATGTGAGGATCAGTATGGCTGGCCTTGTGACATGTGCTCCACTTTTGGTGAATGCAGCAACCTTCGAGGCAATACCTGTGGATGCATCAATGCACTTCCTCCAAATAATACTTACTGCCAGCCACTGTCAGGTAGGTGTTGCTATTTTGTTTTTTGTTTTTACCTCACATTTGATTCAATTTGCTCAGTTTAATAATAATTAAAAAAAAAACTGTCTTCGTGAAACAGATCTAAATCCCTGCCCAACGACAGCACCAACAACTGGTAAGAAATGTTACACTCTTTCTCAAAAAAAAACCCCCCCCCCCCCCCCCCCCCCCCCCCCCCCCCCCCCCCCCCCCCCCCCCCCCCCCCCCCCCCCCCCCCCCCCCCCCCCCCCCCCCCCCCCCCCCCCCCCCCCCCCCCCCCCCCCCCCCCCCCCCCCCCCCCCCCCCCCCCCCCCCCCCCCCCCCCCCCCCCCCCCCCCCCCCCCCCCCCCCCCCCCCCCCCCCCCCCCCCCCCCCCCCCCCCCCCCCCCCCCCCCCTTTTTTTTTTTTTTTTTTTTTTTTTTTTTTTTTTTTTTTTTTTTTTTTTTTTTTTTTTTTTTTTTTTTTTTTTTTTTTTTTTTTTTTTTTTTTTTTTTTTTTTTTTTTTTTTTTTTTTTTTTTTTTTTTTTTTTTTTTTTTTTTTTTTTTTTTTTTTTTTTTTTTTTTTTTTTTTTTTTTTTTTTTTTTTTTTTTTTTTTTTTTTTTTTTTTTTTTTTTTTTTTTTTTTTTTTTTTTTTTTTTTTTTTTTTTTTTTTTTTTTTTTTTTTTTTTTTTTTTTTTTTTTTTTTTTTTTTTTTTTTTTTTTTTTTTTTTTTTTTTTTTTTTTTTTTTTTTTTTTTTTTTTTTTTTTTTTTTTTTTTTTTTTTTTTTTTTTTTTTTTTTTTTTTTTTTTTTTTTTTTTTTTTTTTTTTTTTTTTTTTTTTTTTTTTTTTTTTTATTTAATGCTTTCTTAGGTGTACAACTAACTAGGTAAGAAAATGTCATCTCTACAATCAAAGATAGACTGTTTGATTCAGAGAAGATAGTTTAATTCTTAAAACGATGCATTGAATTTTCATGTTTCACTCATAGTTTAAATCGATAAAACCAAAGTTCCGTTAATCCAGTTCAATTATGCAGATAAAAACTGTAACTCTGATTTGCTGACGACTCATAGCTGCTAGAAAGTCATTCAGAGAAAATGGAACTCATTTCAGAATATTCTTCGGGATTAGCTGAAAGTATAGACATGACATATTTTAAAGAGATTGCTGGACCCTACTATCAATTTAATCTTTTGGATGATTTTTTCTTTTTCAGCTCCTCCAGTCTTCCGTCAGTACCTTCTTTCTATAGAACTGAAAACAACAACAGTTGCAGCTGTAGAAAGACTAAGAAACATCAGCTACCCCATCATCAGCAGCAATCTACACATCTCTGATGTTAACATCTCTACAGGTAATAATCATCCCTTTAATAACATTGATAGATTTGACGGGATGCAGTTTCTAACTGTTGAAACAATCTGTCTTGCTTTCAGTGTGCTCCCCCAATAATACAAGCCACCAGTGCAGATGTGAGGATCAGTATGGCTGGCCTTGTGACATGTGCTCCACTTTTGGTGAATGCAGCAACCTTCTAGGCAATACCTGTGGATGCATCAATGCACTTCCTCCAAATAATACTTACTGCCAACCACTGTCAGGTAGGTTTTGCTATTTTGTTTTTTACTTCAACATTTGATTCAATTTGCTCAGCGTAATTAACAAAAAAAAAAAAACTGTCTTTGTGAAACAGATCTAAATCCCTGCCCAACGACAGCACCAACAACTAGTAAGAAATGTTACACTCTTTCTCTAAAAAAACAAACATATCAATTATTTGTGCTTCTTAACTATTTAGTTAGATTTAATTTTAAAGATGCCATAATATATTTCTGCATCTATTATTGCTACTTTAGTAGCGATAATTCCAATAAATAATTATTTCCAAGAAATAATCATAATTAACCATAATTGTATTGAAAGTATACATAACAACAATTTAAAACACAACTCAACTATTCACTGTGGGATGTTTGATAAAATGACAGGTGACCATTAAACAAAACAACTTATAATAAATGCTAGACTTACCTATAATGCACTATTATGATTCAACCAACATAAGTATGTTTATAAAAGGTTACATTTTTTAACATTTTTATTGATATTATTTTTTCAAATACTATTGCAACACATTATTGTCATGTTTGGCTTAAGGTTCCTGACCCACATGCAGAACACACTGAAGCTGGAGAAAAGTTCAAAGGTTTATTAAAATAATTCAGTACAAGGAATAAACAGATCCTGGGGTTAATCAGATCCAGGACTTTTCATGAGTGGGTTCGCTGTTCTGGAGTTTGAGCTGAGCGGCTGAGGGGGGGGGACCTTGAGGGTCCAGAGGCTGTCGGCAGGCTGAGGGCTTAGCAGAGGCAGAGCTTGGTTTGAGTGTTTGCAGATGACAGATTTGAGTTTCCATTCCAGATTCTTCAGAGAGCGGGCAGGCAGGTCTTTGACAGGAATGATTCTCCAGGGTTCTTCAGAGGTCAGACAGACAGATTTCCAACAGAGAAACTCTTCAGGGTTTCTGGTTTTCAGGCAGGTTTAACCGTAACTGGCAAACACTCTGGCACTGGAGAGACGTCCTCTGCCTCCTTAAATACAGATCTCCTGATGAGCAGATGAGCGACAGGTGGTAGCAATCAGAAAATCTAGTACGCCCTCTGGTGGAGAAAGTGGACAGACCTCCAGATCCCAAGAATTATTTTCTAAATGTGACTGCAGAGCCAACATCTCTAATTATTACAACACAAAGTACCACAAATGCAACTACAGATACAAATAAGTAGATCAAATGTAGATAATTTCTTCATATTTATGCTTCTTTTGTACTGTTTATTGTTAATTGAATAAATTAACCTGACAAATTGACGTAAATTTACTTTTTATTGATTCAGCAACAGATTTCCCAATAACGACAAGAAGAACTACTGTAACAACAGTGACAACAAGTAAGTGACTCTGTGTAACCATAGTATAATCATTTTGAATTATCTTATCACCCATTGTTATTTTAAAATGTTGACAAGACATACTTTTGTTCAGAAAGGATTAACGTCATATTTGCGTTTTCTTAGTTAATGCTATTGCTTATGGTGTCAACTACTAGAGTAAGCTAAAATTCATTCAGATAAAGATAATTTTCACAAAAGCATCAGTTGAAATCTTAAAACGTATTGATTTTCTGTTTGGTCAAAGTTTTAAAGAATGGTTCAAAAGAAAATTCATTAATTTCTTACATATGTGCAGAAAAATGCTATACTGCTGATTTCCCTGTTAGACTTGATAGTTGTCCAGAAAATAATTCAGAGAACAGGATCTCATTCCAGTGATACTCTTCGTGGATTTAGCTAAAAAAGTATAGAGCAGGGCATATATAAAAGGGATTGCTGGGCCTGCTTTTGAGTTTTATTTATTTAAAAAAAAAAAATTTCTTTTTCAGCTCCTCCAGTCTTCCGTCAGTACCTTCTTTCTATAGAACTGAAAACAACAACAGTTGCAGCTGTAGAAAGACTAAGAAACATCAGCTACCCCAACATCAGCAGCAATCTACACATCTCTGATGTTAACATCTCTACAGGTAATAATCATCCCTTTAATAACATTGATAGATTTGACGGGATGCAGTTTCTAACTGTTGAAACAATCTGTCTTGCTTTCAGTGTGCTCCCCCAATAATACAAGCCACCAGTGCAGATGTGAGGATCAGTATGGCTGGCCTTGTGACATGTGCTCCACTTTTGGTGAATGCAGCAACCTTCTAGGCAATACCTGTGGATGCATCAATGCACTTCCTCCAAATAATACTTACTGCCAACCACTGTCAGGTAGGTTTTGCTATTTTGTTTTTTACTTCAACATTTGATTCAATTTGCTCAGCGTAATTAACAAAAAAAAAAAAAAAAACTGTCTTTGTGAAACAGATCTAAATCCCTGCCCAACGACAGCACCAACAACTAGTAAGAAATGTTACACTCTTTCTCTAAAAAAACAAACATATCAATTATTTGTGCTTCTTAACTATTTAGTTAGATTTAATTTTAAAGATGCCATAATATATTTCTGCATCTATTATTGCTACTTTAGTAGCGATAATTCCAATAAATAATTATTTCCAAGAAATAATCATAATTAACCATAATTGTATTGAAAGTATACATAACAACAATTTAAAACACAACTCAACTATTTACTGTGGGATGTTTGATAAAATGACAGGTGACCATTAAACAAAACAACTTATAATAAATGCTAGACTTACCTATAATGCACTATTATGATTCAACCAACATAAGTATGTTTATAAAAGGTTACATTTTTTAACATTTTTATTGATATTATTTTTTCAAATACTATTGCAACACATTATTGTCATGTTTGGCTTAAGGTTCCTGACCCACATGCAGAACACACTGAAGCTGGAGAAAAGTTCAAAGGTTTATTAAAATAATTCAGTACAAGGAATAAACAGATCCTGGGGTTAATCAGATCCAGGACTTTTCATGAGTGGGTTCGCTGTTCTGGAGTTTGAGCTGAGCGGCTGAGGGGGGGGGACCTTGAGGGTCCAGAGGCTGTCGGCAGGCTGAGGGCTTAGCAGAGGCAGAGCTTGGTTTGAGTGTTTGCAGATGACAGATTTGAGTTTCCATTCCAGATTCTTCAGAGAGCGGGCAGGCAGGTCTTTGACAGGAATGATTCTCCAGGGTTCTTCAGAGGTCAGACAGACAGATTTCCAACAGAGAAACTCTTCAGGGTTTCTGGTTTTCAGGCAGGTTTAACCGTAACTGGCAAACACTCTGGCACTGGAGAGACGTCCTCTGCCTCCTTAAATACAGATCTCCTGATGAGCAGATGAGCGACAGGTGGTAGCAATCAGAAAATCTAGTACGCCCTCTGGTGGAGAAAGTGGACAGACCTCCAGATCCCAAGAATTATTTTCTAAATGTGACTGCAGAGCCAACATCTCTAATTATTACAACACAAAGTACCACAAATGCAACTACAGATACAAATAAGTAGATCAAATGTAGACAATTTCTTCATATTTATGCTTCTTTTGTACTGTTTATTGTTAATTGAATAAATTAACCTGACAAATTGACGTAAATTTACTTTTTATTGATTCAGCAACAGATTTCCCAATAACGACAAGAAGAACTACTGTAACAACAGTGACAACAAGTAAGTGACTCTGTGTAACCATAGTATAATCATTTTGAATTATCTTATCACCCATTGTTATTTTAAAATGTTGACAAGACATACTTTTGTTCAGAAAGGATTAACGTCATATTTGCGTTTTCTTAGTTAATGCTATTGCTTATGGTGTCAACTACTAGAGTAAGCTAAAATTCATTCAGATAAAGATAATTTTCACAAAAGCATCAGTTGAAATCTTAAAACGTATTGATTTTCTGTTTGGTCAAAGTTTTAAAAAATGGTTCAAAAGAAAATTCATTAATTTCTTACATATGTGCAGAAAAATGCTGTACTGCTGATTTCCCTGTTAGACTTGATAGTTGTCCAGAAAATAATTCAGAGAACAGGATCTCATTCCAGTGATACTCTTCGTGGATTTAGCTAAAAAAGTATAGAGCAGGGCATATATAAAAGGGATTGCTGGGCCTGCTTTTGAGTTTTATTTATTTAAAAAAAAAAAAAATTATTTTTCAGCTCCTCCAGTCTTCCGTCAGTACCTTCTTTCTATAGAACTGAAAACAACAACAGTTGCAGCTGTAGAAAGACTAAGAAACATCAGCTACCCCATCATCAGCAGCAATCTACACATCTCTGATGTTAACATCTCTACAGGTAATAATCATCCCTTTAATAACATTGATAGATTTGACGGGATGCAGTTTCTAACTGTTGAAACAATCTGTCTTGCTTTCAGTGTGCTCCCCCAATAATACAAGCCACCAGTGCAGATGTGAGGATCAGTATGGCTGGCCTTGTGACATGTGCTCCACTTTTGGTGAATGCAGCAACCTTCTAGGCAATACCTGTGGATGCATCAATGCACTTCCTCCAAATAATACTTACTGCCAACCACTGTCAGGTAGGTTTTGCTATTTTGTTTTTTACTTCAACATTTGATTCAATTTGCTCAGCGTAATTAACAAAAAAAAAAAAACTGTCTTTGTGAAACAGATCTAAATCCCTGCCCAACGACAGCACCAACAACTAGTAAGAAATGTTACACTCTTTCTCTAAAAAAACAAACATATCAATTATTTGTGCTTCTTAACTATTTAGTTAGATTTAATTTTAAAGATGCCATAATATATTTCTGCATCTATTATTGCTACTTTAGTAGCGATAATTCCAATAAATAATTATTTCCAAGAAATAATCATAATTAACCATAATTGTATTGAAAGTATACATAACAACAATTTAAAACACAACTCAACTATTCACTGTGGGATGTTTGATAAAATGACAGGTGACCATTAAACAAAACAACTTATAATAAATGCTAGACTTACCTATAATGCACTATTATGATTCAACCAACATAAGTATGTTTATAAAAGGTTACATTTTTTAACATTTTTATTGATATTATTTTTTCAAATACTATTGCAACACATTATTGTCATGTTTGGCTTAAGGTTCCTGACCCACATGCAGAACACACTGAAGCTGGAGAAAAGTTCAAAGGTTTATTAAAATAATTCAGTACAAGGAATAAACAGATCCTGGGGTTAATCAGATCCAGGACTTTTCATGAGTGGGTTCGCTGTTCTGGAGTTTGAGCTGAGCGGCTGAGGGGGGGGACCTTGAGGGTCCAGAGGCTGTCGGCAGGCTGAGGGCTTAGCAGAGGCAGAGCTTGGTTTGAGTGTTTGCAGATGACAGATTTGAGTTTCCATTCCAGATTCTTCAGAGAGCGGGCAGGCAGGTCTTTGACAGGAATGATTCTCCAGGGTTCTTCAGAGGTCAGACAGACAGATTTCCAACAGAGAAACTCTTCAGGGTTTCTGGTTTTCAGGCAGGTTTAACCGTAACTGGCAAACACTCTGGCACTGGAGAGACGTCCTCTGCCTCCTTAAATACAGATCTCCTGATGAGCAGATGAGCGACAGGTGGTAGCAATCAGAAAATCTAGTACGCCCTCTGGTGGAGAAAGTGGACAGACCTCCAGATCCCAAGAATTATTTTCTAAATGTGACTGCAGAGCCAACATCTCTAATTATTACAACACAAAGTACCACAAATGCAACTACAGATACAAATAAGTAGATCAAATGTAGATAATTTCTTCATATTTATGCTTCTTTTGTACTGTTTATTGTTAATTGAATAAATTAACCTGACAAATTGACGTAAATTTACTTTTTATTGATTCAGCAACAGATTTCCCAATAACGACAAGAAGAACTACTGTAACAACAGTGACAACAAGTAAGTGACTCTGTGTAACCATAGTATAATCATTTTGAATTATCTTATCACCCATTGTTATTTTAAAATGTTGACAAGACATACTTTTGTTCAGAAAGGATTAACGTCATATTTGCGTTTTCTTAGTTAATGCTATTGCTTATGGTGTCAACTACTAGAGTAAGCTAAAATTCATTCAGATAAAGATAATTTTCACAAAAGCATCAGTTGAAATCTTAAAACGTATTGATTTTCTGTTTGGTCAAAGTTTTAAAGAATGGTTCAAAAGAAAATTCATTAATTTCTTACATATGTGCAGAAAAATGCTATACTGCTGATTTCCCTGTTAGACTTGATAGTTGTCCAGAAAATAATTCAGAGAACAGGATCTCATTCCAGTGATACTCTTCGTGGATTTAGCTAAAAAAGTATAGAGCAGGGCATATATAAAAGGGATTGCTGGGCCTGCTTTTGAGTTTTATTTATTTAAAAAAAAAAAAATTTCTTTTTCAGCTCCTCCAGTCTTCCGTCAGTACCTTCTTTCTATAGAACTGAAAACAACAACAGTTGCAGCTGTAGAAAAACTAAGAAACATCAGCTACCCCATCATCAGCAGCAATCTACACATCTCTGATGTTAACATCTCTACAGGTAATAATCATAGCTTTAATAACATTGATAGATTTGATGGGATGCAGTTTCTAACTGTTGAAACAATCTGTCTTGCTTTCAGTGTGCTCCCCCTATAATACAAGCCACCAGTGCAGATGTGAGGATCAGTATGGCTGGCCTTGTGACATGTGCTCCACTTTTGGTGAATGCAGCAACCTTCTAGGCAATACCTGTGGATGCATCAATGCACTTCCTCCAAATAATACTTACTGCCAGCCACTGTCAGGTAAGTTTTGCAAATTTCTTTGACATCTTCTTTAAATAACAACAATTTCAGTGTCATTCAGTTGAAAGGTCTGTCTTTGTAAACAGATCTAAATCCCTGCCCATCAACTGCACCAACAACTAGTAAGAAATGTTACACTCTTTCTCTGACAACCATCCAAACATAGAAGCTATATGTGGTTTCAACCAGTGAGTTAGGTCTTATTTTAAATATAAAAAAAGTATTTCTAATGTATTATCTCTAAATTATTTTACATTGATACAGGTCATTTTAAGGCAGTCCTAATATCAGTATAAGAACTGTAATTATTATTTGCCTGGCAGACTACAGCTATTCAGAAAGTACTTGAACTTGAAGAGAAGTTGAACTCAGTATAGAACTGAACATTAAAGGGATTATTGAACCCTCTTATCAATAGAAGCCACTCTAATCCCTTCCAGATTGGAAATTATCTTAATCAACTTAATTTGTCTAATTCATTTAGCAATGTTTAAATCTCATACTATTAGTATATAAAGCATTTATAACATTTAATTAATATCATGTGTCAATACATTTTTATTTGTTTAAATGTATTTGCAGTGCCAATGCCTCCAACAATTGCAACACAAAAATATTCAAGTACAACTGTTGTTACAAGTAAGTAAGACTGAGCTATTTGTTAAATTTTCCTGTATATTTGGTTAGTTGATTTTATAAAAAAGTAATATAGCTAAGTAACTTGATCCTACAATCCTCTACTCAATTTAACACCAGCTGAAACAACGTTATTCATAATACAAACCTTGAGCTTTTTGCAGGTCAGAGGAAATGATTGGCAAACTCACATTGCCAAAAGCATTTGCTTTTCTTTCTGCTGCTGCCTGATTATTGTGAGGCAAAGTTTGTTTTTTGGTTCACACCTAATTCAATTACTCAAGCTATCAATCAGTAATTATTTAATGTCAACTACACTGCTCAAAAAAAATTAAAGGAACACTTTCAAAACACATCAGATCTCAATGGGGAAAAACCATGCTGTTTATTTATACTGATATGGACTGGGTGATGTGTTAGGAACAAAAGGATGCCACATCATTTGATGGAAATGAAAATTATCAACCTACAGAGGACTGAATTCAAAGACACCCCGAAAATTACAGTGAAAAAATTATGTGGCAGGCTAGTCTATTTTGCTGAAATTTCATTGCAGAAACTCAAAATGGTATTCAGTAATTTGTATGGCCCTCACGTGTGTGTATGCATGCCTGACAATTTCGCGGCACTCTCCTAATGAGACGGCAGATGGCGTCCTGGGGTATCTCCTCCCAGATCTGGACCAGGGCATCACTGAGCTCCTGGACAGACTAAGGTGCAACCTGGCGGCATCAGATGGATCAAAACATAATGTCCCAGAGGTATTCTTTTTTTTTTTTTTTTTTTTTTACCAGAGGTATTCTATTGGATTTAGGTCAGGCGAGCGTGGGGGCCAATCAATGGTATCAATTCCTTCATCCTGTTATGTTTCTTGCCTGTCAACTAGTATTTTCATTCCCCTCCCCCTTCTGCTCTGTGCTGCCTCTGCTCAGCCTAATTGCCACTGATTCCTCTCACCTGTTTGCCAGCCTTCTTAAGCAGGCCTCTCTCTAGTTGACAGTGCCAGATTGCCTGAAAGCCTTGGCTAGTAAGCATCCAGCATTTTTCTGTCTGTCTACCTGATCCTGACCTTTTTCTGCCTCCTGATTTTTTGAGCCTGCCTAGCCCTTGTTGGATCTGTTTTTTGTGCCGCCTGGATCCCTGACCTGTTTCTGTGCCCTGACCTTGTCCCTGGATTCTGTTTTGGATTCTCTGAAAATCTGATCACCTGGCTCTGATCCTGGACCTCCTTTGACCAAGATACTCTGCCAAGCCTCAGTGAGAATTCTGTCAAGCAACCAAAGTTCTCTGGAACCAAGACACCCCACCTGGATATTAAGAAAGGTTAGTGGCTTATCAGTCTGAACCTAAAATCATCAATTTCAGCCACTAACCTGTTCTCTCCCCTCCAGAGGCTTTGGCTCCTCTGATCCCGAAAAACCTGCATTATTCCCTCAATAAATCTTTTAAAGTTATTTCCTGTTGTGTTCTGGTTGTTTCTGGGTCCTCAGTCTGAATCTTAACAGTGCAATCTGGCCAACAATGGACCCAACACCAGCACAACAGTGGCGAGCCGGTGTTGATAACTCTATCGCTCGGCTTGATGCAGGTATGACTGAAATCATTTCCATGTTGCGCAACTTGTCTGTTCCCAGCCATACCCAGACTCCTCCACAGCCTGTTGGTCCTCCTGCAGTTCCAGAAGCCACCACAAGAGAGCCAAATCTGTGTCCTCCTGAGGTTTTCAAGGGTGATGCTGATCAGTGCAGAGCTTTTCTTACTCAATGTGAAATTCACTTTGAACTGCAACCCTCATCATTTCCCACAGATCGGTCTAAGGTGG